CCCCCCCCCCCCTTTGCAGCCGCCCCCATCGCCCCTCACCCAGCTCGGTGTCGCGGATGCCCATGTAGCTCTCCAGCAGATCGTCCACCTTGGCGATGGCGCGCTCCTCGAAGGCGCTGGGCTGATGGGGGTGGGACAGCAGGGGGGCGTTAAGGAGGGTCCCCAGCATCTCTCCGCCCCCCTCACAACCCCCCCTCTCCCCCCCACAACACCCACCTGCTCCTCCACGGTGGCCGGGCCGTGGGCGCGCAGCCTCAGGGTGCCCCGACCGCTGCCCAGCGCTGTGCCCCCCCCCCCGGCCCCCCGCCGTGCGCTGGCTGATCATGTCTGCAATGGAGGGGGAGTTGGGCGTAAATCCTGGGGTCACCCCACACCCTACAGGACCCTCCCCCAACCACAGTCCTTAACCGCCATCCCGACCCTAACCCCAGTCCCAAACTGCCCCCAACCCACTCCAGTCCCAACCCTGCTTCCAATCCCCAACCCAAAATCAATCTCAACCTCAGCTCCAATCCATCCTCGATCCAATCCCACTCTCAACCCCAACCCCACATCCCAACCTCAGGCACAACCCCAGCCTCACCTCCAAGCCCGATCCCAATCCCGATCTCAACTGGATCTCAACCCCTCCCCAACCCCCATCCCAATCTCAGTCCAACTCCACGCCTCATCCTCATCCCAGTCCCAATTCCCATCTCGACTGCATCCTAATCCCAATCCCCACCCCAATCCCGTGCCCCATCCTCATCCCCATCCCAATCTCAACCCAATCTCAACCTCAATCCCACCCAACTCCAATCCAGTCCCAGTCCCCATCTCAACTTCATCCCAACCCCAATCCCATTCACAACCCCACGCCCCATTCTCATCTCAATCCCAATTTCATCCCAATCTCAACTTCACCCAACTCCAATCCCCACCTCCATCCCACCTCCATCCCCCATCCTCATCCCAATCTCAATCCAATCCCAACCCCCCCCCCCCCCCCCGACCCCCCCCCCCCCCCCCCTGCCCACCAAAGGCCTTTCTGGGCTCGGTGAGCTGCAGGGCAAAGGTTCTCCCTCGCGGCAGCTCCTTCAGTGCCCGCGCCACGTCGTAGTGCCGCGCTCCCACCAGGCTGCGCCCGTTGATGGCCTCAATCATGTCCCCGACGCCGATCAGCGGCACGCGGTCGATCACGCTGCCCTCCTTGATCCGCTGCCATGGGGGGGGGGGGGGGGG